AATTATAGCAGTTTTATTTTAGTATCATTTATATACAATTATAGTATTTATTAAGATTTTGAATTAGCTTTATTTTATGTTTTTAGTTTTCACTTTTGTCATTAGTTTTTGGTTTTTTAATATTTCTATGTAGCTTTAATTTACTTCATTTCAGTTTTATTTTTTAATAATACGAGTACTTATTTAAACTTATTTTATTCCAGTTAGTAGCACAGGCAACATTTTTAATTTTCATTTAAATGCTAAAGTTTATGTTTTTCATTTAATATTAATCTTTTTTTTTTTTTCAATTGACAAATAAGTGGTCAACTTTGTTTAATTACTAAAACAAAAAAGAAAGAAAACTAATTACAAAAATTAAAAAAAAATTTCTTCAGTTTTATTAATTGTAGTAATACTTCAAACTTATTTACTTATTTTATTTCAGTTTTTGTTAATGGTGATTCCCATTAGATTATCAATAGAGTACAGTATTTTTATGGTATTAAAGAAAAATATTGTCATACAACTTTTAAGAATACATCACTGTTTTCACATAAAAGTAAAGGCAGTGAGTTTTTTTTGCAACAAGTTAATTAGATTGTAGTGCTTAATTTAAAATAATAATAATAATAATGTCACAGTGCAAAAAAAAAAAAAAAAAATCATAATGATCTTACAGTAGCCCTCGTGTTCTTTAAGCAAAATAGGCCTATATCTTTTCATGTCTTTCTTTAGATTTTGAATCATGTTGGTGTTCAGGGCTTAGCCTTAAAATGGTTCTCTTCTTAATTTTATTTTACTATTATTATTTTTCATTTGTTTTTATATTATTCTTATTGCCCCCCCCCCTTATCTTTCTCTGTACAGCACTTTGGTTCCAGTCGTGGTGTTGAAAGTGCTTTATAAATAAAGTCTGAGTTGAGTTGAGAGTTGAGATTTTGAGGACAAATAGGGCCTGGAGCTGTTCTTGACCTACCTGAATGTCCACCCGTGTCCACGGCCGTCCCGAACAGCAGCACATACTCTGTTAGAGAGGCGTGCAGCAGACACATGGAGCCCATCCAGCCGCCCGCATTCACAAACACCCACTGCAGGTCCTCATCGGGCAGGATGTGGCCCGGATACCTCTTCCTCAGCTCCACCACCACCTTAGAGAAGGCTTGCTCGTGGTCCTGGCCTGTGGCACACAAACACACACAGCTTAGACATCTAGCAGACAAGTGACAAGTTAGGAAGAGTCATTACCGGACTGTTATGTTGTATTTAATCAAAATATAGTTTAAACAACTCTTTTAGATAGACAATATGACCATCTGAATACAACTTTGAAGCTCTGCGTTGCTAGGAAGTGTATATTGGTAATAGTACTATTGCTATAGAGACCAATTATCGCAATATCTTAGCAACAGATGTGAGTTCAGAATAAAAACAGGTTATGTGTGTTCACTTACCTGCATACTGTCTGGCTAACCTGGTAACATCTTCTTTTGTAAAAACATATTGTTTATTTGCCATCCAATATCTTAGAAACTGAACTGTCAACACCAGAAAACCAAGAACCACCACAATTTTTAAAATAATTCTTATTAAAGACATCGTGACCCGACCACAAATGACTGTTTAAAAGTAAAACGCTGCCTGAGATCGCAAAAGACATTAGACGGACTTCATTCAGACACACGGCATGGCACACACGGACGCTGACGTGAGGTGACGTCACGCCTGTGGCAACCAATCGGCTGCCACAAACGGCGAGTTCTAGTCCAATCAAATCGCTCAGGGCGCTACACGGAAGAAGGCGGCGCGAAGGTGTATCATTATCATCAACATTGCCACTAAAATACGCAAACTCTACCAGCGCGCTTTGTGGATACAGTGATGTATATCGAATAAATGAATGTATTTATGTATGCGGTATTATTTATGCGCTCGGGGAGCCTGTAAACAGCGCCAGCGCTGATCGGGTTATTCATCTTTAGAAGCCACATACTGCGTGTAATGTGCGCAGCACTGTTCACTTGAGGACACTTAGGGAGGAAGATCAACTTGAAACTCTAAAAAGAAGCAATCAATGAATTCATGTTAAAAACCCTTAACAGGTGATCGGATAGATTACGTAACTGCAAGGGGATTTTATTAAGCAGTAAGATGGACAGTATCAGTAAACCTATGTTTGATCCTAAAGGTGAGGAATGTTTTCACATATTGATACATATGCATATTTATTCTCTGAGCTTTGAACTGTGCATGATTCGGAGACAAATCTACATGTGATATAACGTAATGCCCTCTTTTTGTTTCATACTCCTGTGGTTTGAATCCACTGGAAATAGTACACTTGCTTGAGGAGTCACGTGATGGCTGGCTGTGCAGCAGATCATGTGATTTAACCGAATCATTTTATAGAATCGGTTCGTTCGGACAGCTTATGTCAAGGATCCGGTTCAAACTGATTCACCATTTAGGCATCCATTCTAAAGTCCCTTCGCGGAATCATTTATAAGACAAATACATTTTTAGTTAAACACTATTGTTTACTACAATGTTTTGAAATAGGTGATATAAATTGCTTCGAATTTTTATATTATTATTATTATCGCTTCTGTTTCAGTTTTTATAACCATTTCTTACTATGTGTAAGTTGTTGTTTTTTAGCACGTGTGTTTGGCAGTGTTATTTTTTAGGATTACTGATAAACTACTGTCGTTTGATTTGTATTATTTGTATTTGTTATTTATTTTAATTTTAGTTACATTATGTCTGAATTTATTCTGTCTGTATAGGTCTTTTATTACGTTTTTAGTTTTATTTAATTTGAGTTATTTTAATACTTCAACAAACTAAATGGAAATGAAATAATATATATATTGCATTTATAAATGTGTGTGTACATATACAGTATATATGTATGTGTGTGTGGTTGTAGATACACATATGTAGTTGTTTTTTTGGTGTTTGTCTTAGTGGTATGTTAGAATAATTATTATACTCATACCTTTTGTTCTTTAATATTTTGAATTGTTTTTAGCTTTATTTTTTTGTTGTCCTCATTTGTAAGTCGCTTTGGATAAAAGCGTCTGATAAATGACTAAATAAATAAATACAAATTATTTGTATTTGCAAACACTTTGGGAAATAACTAGTTTAAACACTGAATCGTTCATAAGAAATTAGCATATTGAGTGACAAAGTTCTGTCACATTTAAAATCCAATAATTTTCACTCATCACTGGTGCTTGAATATTATTCTTGCATCGTGATCTTTGTTTCAGAGCACCAGCACTTAAGGTACAATCCTCTGCGGGACTCCTGGGTTCTGGTCTCGGCCCACCGGATGAAGCGTCCGTGGAAAGGACAGGTGGAGAAACAGCCAGAGGACAACATCCCACGACATGACCCAAACAACCCCCTCTGTCCCGGCAGCGTGAGAGCTAATGGAGAGGTGAGCCGCTGGACACTTTCATAATTTAGTTTCATCAGATTCTACAGTTTGTAGATTGTTTATGTTGCCCCTGTTTATATATATATATATATATAAATTAAAAAATACTTTTTATTTTTTATTTCAAATTTAATTTGTATTTAAAATATGTAATAGTGAATACAGTTCAATCAAACTGTAACTGATTTTTCTGATTTTTAAGCATTATGGAGGGTGTAAAAGCACAATTTTGAAGTTTGTATTTTGTTTGTTTTATATTATTGAGTGTTTAAGTAGTAAAAATGTTGTCTATTTTGTTATTTTAAGAAAATGTACACTACCGTTTAAAAGTCTGGGGTCAGTTTTAAAAAAAGAAATTAACAAGTTTATTCAGAAAGAATGCATTAAATTAATCAAGTGACAGTAATGACTTTTGCATTACACTGTTTAAAAAAAAATCTGTTTCAAATAAATGCTGTTCTTTTGAACTTTCTCAAAGTCCCTTTAAGACTTTAAGATTCTATAGTCTATAGTCATCAAAGAAGCCTGAAAAAAATAAAATGTATCATATAGTTTCCACAAGAATATAAAGCAGCACAACTGTTTTTAGCAGTGATAATAATCAGAAATGTTCTTGAGCAGTAAATCAGCATATTAGAATGATTTCTGAAGATCATGTGACACTGAGACTGGAGTAATGATGCTGAAAATACAGCTTTGATCACAGAAATAAATTACATTTTAACAGATATTAAAACAGAAAACAGTTATTTTAAATTGTAATAATATTTCACAATAGTGCAGTTTTTTCCATTTTTTTATTTTTTTTTTAATCAAATAAATGAAGTCTTGTCCCATAGACTTCCATTGTAGGTAAAAAAAAAAAAAAAAAACTTTTACTCTTACTTCCCAAATCTTGTCAAAGGAATTTTATTTATTTAAAAATGTAGGAATTGTATTTATTTATTTTTTGGCAAATCACCTGTCATTTAACATGGGATAAGACCCAGTGGTGTCCCAGTGGGATAATGATCTGGTCCTTTATTAAAGGGGTCCTATTATGCTCTTTTACAAAGTCTTGATTTTGTTTTGGGGGTGTACTAGAACAGGCTCTCATACTAGGTTGTTCGAAAAACACATTATTTTTCACATATTTTACATTATTACAACACCTCTCTCACCAGTCTGACATGAACGGCTCGAATAGTTCCTGTATCAAATGAAGGCCCGCCTTCTGAAATACGAAATGTGCTGTGATTGGTTAGCTGGGCCAGTATGTGCTGTGATTGGTTAGCTGGGCCAGTATGTGCTGTGATTGGTTAGCTGGGCCAGTGTGTGCTGTGATTGGTTAGCTGGGCCAGTGTGTGCTGTGATTGGTTAGCTGGGCCAGTATGTGCTGTGATTGGTTAGCTGGGCCAGTATGTGCTGTGATTGGTTAGCTGGGCCAGTGTGTGCTGTGATTGGTTAGCTGGCAGCAACATTACAGACTAACTAAAGTTGAAAAAGTGAAAAAGCATAATAGGACCCCTTTAAAATGCATGCATGTCAGTGGAGCCTGAGTTTTTGAACCTAGATTGTACCCAGAATATTCCTGTCAAAGAAAATGAAGGCTTTTATTTAGTGAAATTCATTGAAGGGTATTGTATATCCTTTTCTTTTTTCTTTACTTTTTGTGCTGCATCACTGCAGTGCCATTTCCGATCCATTTATATGCACTATTTTCAAGTATCAAATTATCAGATTGCAGTAAAATGGTCCATTTAAGGATTTTAAACATTCATGAGCTTATAGTTATACGCTCTCGACACCTCTGGCTCAGCCTGCAGCATCATGGGAGCTTTTTTACGAACACAGATGAAACCATCTTCTCTGTGGAAAGTGATGTGTCTGCAATCATTATACAGCATTCTCTGACTAAGCAGGAGAAAAAAAAACATTGATATCCTTTCCTTGAACGTACATTTCTCTCCGTCTGCCCGTGTGAGTTATACATCAATGAATATTCAGTGGCACAGTTCTTTTTTAAGCCTGAAAAATGTTCTTGGCTGACTCTCTCATTTGTGGATATTATTATTTAATGATTAATTAAATTCAGAAAGTTGCCAGGCTACTTTACATTCAGACAAGATGTTGAGCATGCACTCTTGAACTCTGGCGCTATTCGATGTTGCTGCTTCGTTCAGATATATACGTTTGGCTGGAAGCAGCTTGTCTAGTCAAATAACTGAAAGAGACAGAGCACTCAGGGATGCTTTATCCACCAGACTGTGGATAGGCTACACCAATCATTTGATATTTTCCTCCGTTTTATTCCAGGTGAATCCTGAGTATGACAGCACGTTCATGTTTGACAATGATTTCCCTGCTCTTCAGCCTGACGCTCCAGACCCCGGTATGATCTACCGTCCCATTCAGTCCCATAAGACTCAATCACACTTTATTCTGTTTCTGTAAGGGTTTTTACTGATTTCAGCATTTGGGATGTTCTACTAACACAAATATAACACTTTTTTGGACCTGTAACATGGTAATGGAAAAACTGGATATGAAATGTGAAAAATATGAAACAGCACAACTGTTTTGAACACTGATAATTATCAGAAATGTGTCTTGAGCAGTAAATCAGCATATTAGAATGATTTCTGAAGATCATGTGACACTGAAGACTGGAGTAATGATGCTGAAAATTCAGCTTTGATCAAAGGAATAAATTACATTTGAACATATATTACAATATAAAACAGTTGTTTTAAATAGTAATAATATTTCACAATATTTCTGTTTTTACTGTATTTTCATCAAATAAAGTAAGACTTAAGAAGAGACTTGGTAAGCATAAGAAAAAAAAAATCTTACTGACCCTAAACTTTTGAACAGTAGTGTATAACAAAGTATCATGCTGTCATCTCATACAGTCTCTCTATTATGATACTGCCACAATATTTTTTTTGCTGTTATAATGAAAGTAGACAGTTAATGTTCCTGCAAAGTTTAATTGTAAAACATTTAAAGTGCAATTATGGTCTTTATGTTCCAACGTTTTAACCATTTGCTGATAATCTGTGTTTATTGTTCTAGGTTCAGATCATCACCCACTTTTCCAAAGCAAAGCAGCCAGAGGTGTTTGGTGAGAGCGGTTTATTTCTTCTTTTTTATGAACTAAACTTACTAACTAGTACTGCTTGCTTAAAGTTAAAGGGATAGTTCACCCAAAAATGAAAATTCTGTCAT